CTACATCAAGTCAGCTCATATTCATTACAACAACAACTATATCCGTTTTATGACACTCGGGTCTGCGTAACCAGAGCAGGACCTGTCAACTCGGTAACAGGCCTTGGGCTCATAAAAATCAGCTTCAAAATTATTTCAAAAAGGTTTTCTGCGCGACAAAAGCAACAACAACATAAAACCCAGAAAATTTATAAACCATCGATTTGCCAGTTATTGAAAGGTTTTATTTCCTAATCCTTTTACTAAGACATTATATATACTTATAAACAAAAATGGTCACAATAATAAATATTCCGAAAAGAACAAATTATTCTGGTGAATAGAAATATTGCAATTTGAGTTGTTACCAACAAAATAGTTAAGGCTGATGCATTTTTATTCGATTGTCCATTCAGTGTTGATTATTATTTTTTACGGTGCACTATAAATATAGTGTTAGATTTACTGTTTTGCAGTTCTCAATTGAATCGCGATTTGAACTGTCCCCTGCCCACATGAGAGATTCAATTCGATAATCCTTTTTATGCTTTAATTACCGTTTTGCCCTATGGCAACGAGCTGAAGATGATTCATGAAAATAAACTTTTTTAGTATGTTCGAGCAGCTGTTCGATAGTTGTCAAAACGTCTTCTCTCAAAATTGCAATTTTCCGACATTCACAATTTCTTTAAGAACAAACACCAACGTTGCTTATGGCCCCCTACACGATTAAAGTATTCGCTCTACTTCACTGCAGGTAAAACATAGCTTTCCAAAAAATGCTCTTCTTTCCTACGACGCAGTGCAGCGTTTCCATCGGGTCCAAACAAATTAAATTTGGATTCGTCGGAAAAGTCCAAGTTTTGTGTGATTTTGCCCACTCTAGCCGCAGTTTCTTCATTCAAGGAATAGGTATTTGACTGGAGGTCCCACTCGTAATCCAAGGTTAGTAGTTTCGCAAAATATTGAATTGATTGTTCCAACAATTTGAAAGCGATCAGTAATGTACATCCGTTTATTTTGTCGTTAATGACGAGGTTTACTTTTCCCACTAAAATTCGTGTAGTTAATCTCATAATATTGCGAACGTTCCAAGATAAATGGTGTATTTTGAGCAAATAGTGATATTAAAAAAAAATATTAGAAAAAAAATTTTTAATGTGTATATGTAAATATGTATGTTTAAAAAATAAATCGATTTTTTCAAATTCAAAAGTGGATATAACAACCCCTTAATCAATCATCAAAAATTTGGGGTCTAAAGTAAATCTTGTCGGCATAAAATATGTATTTGGTTCCGTTACTTAAATGACAATTCAATTCCAAAATATGAACAATTAATTTAATAACTTTTTTAAATTGTCTCCAAAAACACAATAATTAAATCAAGGAACCTTTGAATTTTGAATTAAATAAATGAAAACATAACTGTCAAAAGCTAAAAGAAAAGTTTACGACAGAAAGCAAACAAATTGCGAAATTGTCAAAAGCTTATTTCCACAAAAAAAAAACAAAAACAACACATAAACGCACAAAAGTTCCAATCAAACCACTCAGCGAGTAGGCAAAGCTAAAAAGCTGCACAAGCGAAGCGTATACAAGTGCGAATTGAATCAGTCTGCTAGTGATCTCATCAACGCCAAACAAACGCAATTCCAACCGGTTGCAACATTTGTAAATATAAATTATTCTTCCATTAATTTCGCAGTTTTCCAACGAAAGTAGTGACAATTTATCATATCTTCGCCCCAAATAAATCAAAAAATCAAAAAGGGAAATGTTGCTTTCCAAATCGATGCGAATAACACCAACACTTGTGAGTGCAACTGCAGCGAGAAGTAGTGGTCCAAGCGTGGTGGCGAGTCTGGATCAGCATAGAAATTTGGTTCTTACAAACGCAGTCATACAAAATGGTTTGACCGGTAAGTTGTGCGTTCCCGAATACAACTAATTCACAGTAATTATAGACAATTTAAATAGTATATTTGTTTGTATTATCTATGTGTATTTCACAATTTTTACTTTCGATTTCCTTTTATGCAGAGAATGTACGCGCGCAATGCGATTTCATCAGATTCAACGCAATTGCTCCCTTCACATTCACAGCCGTTCGCTTCTACGCCGATAATGCCAAGCGAGAGCATCAAACCACCAGCTCGACGCAGAATGTATCTGCACCCAGTTTACCGGATCGCGAACAAGTGGAAAGATTCCTCTTCCGTGTGCTTGCTCTGCTGTGGGATGTAAGCGTGTGGCTCTATATTCATACGAAGAAACTAATCGACACACATATAATCGCTAACGATTCTGTGCAATGGTATTGGAAGCGAATGCATGAACGGATGGCTAAGGCCAAAAAGGAATGGTAAAATGTGTGTATGTGTTTGTTGATTACGCAAAACAAAACGCATTTTGAATTTTTCGATCGAAGAACGTTGACTATGGCGCTCTTTTCCATCTGATGTTCAACGATTTTTTTGAAATTAAATTAGCTAGTATGTTTGTATTTCATTAGATAAATTTCATATTTAGCTCCCATGTTAACATATTTATTAATTATTTTTGTCATTAAAATAAAAAATAAATCATTTCAACTAATATTTTTGCTAACGGTTGTTAAGCGCAAAACTGTTATATGGACATCAGATTGCAATGGCTCTCAATCTATGAGTACGAACACCTCTAAGAAGTTCATATCATTTCTACCAGACAGAGAGTAATTTGAGCTTAGCTTTAGATAATTAGTGTAAAAATTTCGCACTTGTTGGACAATTGATGCGCTATTCTTATATTTTTATAATAACTCAACGATTACACTCCTCGCTACTAGCATACGAAAAAGGTGCGATTCGCATACGTACGGAGTTGGCCGCATCATGAAAGTCAAAAGAGTTTTTTAAGCGTCGAGAGCCAAAATTACTCAGATACAGCAACAAAGCTAGAATTCAATATCACATTATAATGAAATTTTATCTGCAAGATTTTAGCAGGAAGGGTTCCACTAAACTACCAACACTAAAGACACCTTTTTTCACAACCATGGTGATCAAGTTTGTATACGACAGTCGAGGGATTTGCTTTAAAGATAAATTTGTTAAAGTCAAATAATGTACATACATAACTTCCATTCCTTAATGCTCCATAAAACACAATGATACATGGCTCACAAATCCAAGCAAATTTGGTACAGTTGATTTCCATTTACGAAATCCATAATGAGCACAAGAAATTAATGGAAAAGTTGAAAAAGTTATTTGGTCTACAATAATAACTTCAAACAATTTAGATATTACTGATAGCTTTGTTTCCACTTTAGTTTTCATTGGATTACCTAAAACCACTTTTATGCAAACTGATTAATGACTGATTTCAAATTAAAGGGAATATAACTTGTTTAACAGAGGACTTAGACAACCCTGCCAAAGCCAAATATATCCGGCACAATTTTTCAGGAAGCACGAAGATATCATACCCGGTTGGTAATTAAAAGATGGTTTTAACTTATTTAAATGAAGTAAAACTTCTTCTTCAAAATTATTACAAGCGTTAATTGAATTTTTCGGACGAAGCAAGTGCTAATAGGAAAAGTTTTGCGGAGAATAAGTACAGTAACTTGGCATGAAGGATTTTGAAAACATTTTAGAAATAATATAATTATCACATAATATGGGCAGAAATTTTTATTTTAATCCAGCGTTTGGAGTCAATTAAACAATACTAGTTTTTACCTTATTTATGTATGGTAAATATTATAACAGTAGCTCCGAATACTGTCAACACAATGGAAAATATTTAGAATAGTCGACTCGTAAGCCAGTTTTCTTTATTTTTAATTTTAAAAGCTTTAGTTTTCTGCTTTTTAATTTATATATGTAACCCTTCCACCCCGGATTTATACTGTTTTCAATAAACAATTAGTTTTGAAACATATATTTTACAAATATATGTATAATAGGTTTTTTGAAATGCGTGACACTAAATTTAATATTTCCATTATAATCCAAGTTAAAGTAGCAATTTCTCCCAGTATTCATTATTAGACCGAATAGACCACATCAAGCCCGTAGTGAAGAAAATATAAAAGCCGTGGCTGTACACACTAAGACTGTGGAGAGTTAATTCGACTATGGAACGACTTGGCGCGTTTTATATAGAGATCATAAATTGAAACCGTACAAAATACAGCTTGTGCAAGAATTGAAGCCGCTCAACCTTCCCAAGTCCAAGAAGACGACGTTTTCGAGCCAAATTTTGTTCAGCAATGGGACCCATTTTTGGCTCAATGGGTATGTAAACAAGCAAAATTGCCGCTTTTGGGACGAAGATCAACACGAAGAACAAGAGATTCAAGAGGTACCTTTTCGTTCAGAAAAAAAAGGTGTGGTTTCTGGCCAGTGGAATCATCGGTCAATATTTCTTCAAAAATGATGGCGCTGAGAACGTAACCGTCAATGGCGAGACAAGTTGGAAGATCACTATAATCGGATTATAATTCTTCACTGGAGCTTGTATTGAATATTAATATAATTTTTTAAAAGCGACCGTGTTATTAAAAGTTTTAAGGCTGTCATTCAGAGTTTTTGAAATCACTAATATTTTGAGAATTAATTGTTTGGTTTAAGGTTTGATATTTTGCAGAGAATAATCGCTAATGGAAGACTTTGAAACCTGTAATTATTTTAAATTAGATTATAATTACTGCCGAACTGAAAATGATTTCTTTTGCAATTTGCAAACAAAGATCAAATAAAAGGTCACCGTTTTTGGAAAGAAAACTTCCTTTGAGTAAAGTGGACAATTCAATGGATGTAAGCATATACTTCGGCGAGATAACGCTTCCTGAATTTTCATCCACTTTGTAGGTTTGAATCGATCCAGAACGGAATTGTCGTAATAATACTGACGTGTTATGCAATGTATAGACTTCCTATTCATCAATGAGCAAAGCAAAAAAAATACCAATTTGCAGTTTAGAAGTTTTTTAAGATATTTGTGCTGAACAATAATAAAAACACATCATATCCATACCAGCAATCAAAAAGGTGAAGATGGAAAAAGTGTTCATTTTTTCTGTTTTGTTTATGTTTGTATGAAATGTATACAAATATATTTTGTGTAAGTTGGTACTTAATTAAAGAAACCCTTTTCAGCCACTTCACATCTTGGAGTTCGTCAATAATTGTGCAAGATAATCTAATATTTTATTACGTGCCTCGCTGAGTTGAGGTGGATCAGATTTAGCAGCATCATACATTTCGGCGCAATGTGCAGTACCTATTTAGATAAAAAATATATAGGAAGCACTATATTATCTCCACGGATAGAACAAGGGCATACCTTCAATAAAAACGGTCGGTATATTTGGGTTATTCGATGCGGTCAAACCAAGCGCATGCCATGGATCTATTGAGCCGTGTACGTAAAGGACATTCGTGGAGTTGGGATTAAGTCCACCATAAAACTCATTTGTCTGCGAAACAACTTGTTCCAAGTACTTTGCGTCCATGCTGCATAAAAATAAGAAAAAAATTAATTTAATTGAGAGTTAATGGTAATTAAATAATAATGTTTGCCCCCCCTCGCACCTTTCTGAAAAAATATCCATACACTGTTTAATAAAAAAGTCGACTTTGAATTTATCACCGAATGTGTCATTCTTATCGTTTGACGTTTGATAGAAACCGAACTCATTGCAAGTCTGATAGGTCCATTGGCGTGTACCGTTAGCTACTTTGGCGAACAAAGAAATATTCCTCATTTCAGTCAACATATTGTCGTATTTGTAATCTAGGCATTTTTCCTTCAAATTCTCCAAAACCATGCCATTTACAATACCCAAGCGTTCAAAGGGTGGTCCAATGGTGTCATTGACCATAACATTGCAGGCCTTTTACCAAAAAAAAAAAAATCATTAAAAAGTATGTATATATAACATTTTATTTTTACTCACTTCATCGATGGTATAATAAGCTTCGGGTCGATTGACTTTATTGAATTGCACCACAAAAGCAATATTATCGGCTAATTTTTGAAAGAAGTTCGACATATCCAATGGCTTCGTAGCCGATTCTTCAATTGGTGTGCAGATACTAAGAACATTTCATTTTTATAATATGCATAAGCAGGAATTCAAAATATTATATAAAAATTACTTAAATTTCTCATTCACACTTCGTTGGCCAATGGGTTGGCGTATGAGTGTTTCTAACTCAGCAAAGGCTCTTCCTAAAGCCTTCAAGCAGTTGTCGGAATGAGTTGTCAGTGAGGCTTTGACAACTTGAAGGTACTCTAAGCCAAAAGAAATTTTAGAAGGGTTTCGAAAATATATATTTTTCCTTTTGTACCAAAGAAATCCACCTTTGCCAAAAGCGGTGCACTCGAACTGATGGCGCCATATATTAAATGCGGATATTTTTGACGCGCCCAAGCCGCCAACGCACCGGGATAAGATCCACCAAAGACAATCCATTTTTGCTTACTGTTGAAATTGTATTTTACATTCATACTTCGTATGAAATAAGCCACATCGGCTAGAGCTTGCTGCGAGGTAAGAAACTTTAAATTTTCGTATGAGAGATCGCTGCAACAGAGAGAAAATGGACTAAAATCAACAACAGATTTCTTCAGCAATTAGTAGCTGAGGAAAATCATTCACTTAGTAGGGATTAACTTAGTTTAAGATTTCTTTTGCCACCAAAGAGAATAGTTAGACATTAATTTATCTCAATTACTAACATCCAGATCTTTATTTTTATTATCAGTTTTAACATCAATTTTCTATACTTAATTCTAGGCTTTTTCTCGATTCAACGTATTATGACAACCGCTCTCCCAACTCCTTCACTTCCTAACAAACCCGTACCATAATTGACATGACTCACCTTTTCGGTTGACTTTTACCATAGAAGCGATGCTCCAAATGGAAACACATGGCTCCAAAGTGTTCGGCAAATTTAATCCAAGATCCCTTGGTCACCCAACGCGGTGAGATCGCCAGTTCTCCACCAATTGTGAGAAAAATAGGTGCATCACTGTCATTGCGGTAGAATGCATCGTTCATAAAGTAACGCTAAAGAAAATGAGTGTGTATGGATATTTGGTAAGAAGGTATTAAAGTTAATGTATAAAGCATTATCTATACATATTAGTCCTAAAAATTTTGTACGTGACGAAATATTGACGGCCAAACTTAGACAATATGGTAAATATTTTTTTGTCGCCGTAGTAAGAGTAGTTAATATTAGCTATCGATCAGAGAATGTCGAGACAAATAATCCTTTCTCTGAACTCTACTGTTATTTAACACCTCGAAAATCAATAACAATGATGACCAAAATGCTCCCTAATCAAATTCCAACATGCTCGGAACATGTTTATCGATAAACATAAATTCCCTAACATAATATATAATTTACCTGACCAGTATCCTCGTTTAATGGTTTCCTTCATTTGCTTTATAACAGCCAGACGGACTACTACGGACATCTTTTTAATTGTGTACTGTATCTATATATGTTCATACAGAGTAAGGTTGTATGATGTATATAGTATTTAAATAATACTTCAAAGCCATTGTCACTGTCTTTCTTACTTGCTTCCATGTTATATTCTCCTGTTTGTCATCGAAGTGATCGAGTTTTTGTTGAAACCAGTTCTCTTGCGGTTCTGGTGTGTCGTCAGGTGTTAACTGCTGGCTCGTTTCATCAATAGTGTAAAGGGCACTACGACGTGGTCCGAATGCCTTTGCATTATCAAGATTATTAAAAGTAAATATCAACAAGCAAATTGTCGTCAATTGCAGGCGATCAATGATAAGGATCGATAAACTCCCGGACATTCTGCGTCCAAACGTCGATTACGCTATTCTAGATAAACTGTTTATTGACTTTATTAAATATTTCTTTGATTATGTTTGTTTTTAATTAGTTTGAATATATTTGTTTTGCTCTTTGATTAAAATCAATGTATTCCGCACTTTAATTAGCAATTGTTTTGTTTTTCACAAATATATTTTTTGTTTAATAAACCGGGCACTATACTCCGATCAAAACTGTAAATACATACGTGTATGTGGCTTGCTTGGTGTCAAAGTCGTAATTGATTATTTAGAGATATAACACTGGTTTTATAAGGTTTATTTGGTTCAATACAAAGATCAGAAAAAACAGTTCTTCGTATGCTACTGTTAGTACTATAAATAGACTTTCAAAGAATCCTCTCTTATATTAAGAGTTTTCTCTTAAACTTAAATTGTAGAAATCCAATAAGCAAGAAATAGAAATTAGGACCATTTCGTCCACAGAAAAATACAAAAGCAAAAGAGACACTGGCTTTGTTTACAATTGCTAAGAAAGCTCGACAGGTCGTGTTACATTTATGACTTTGGTCATCGCGTGATGGGGACACGCTTGAAAATAAATACCTACTATATACATACATATATACATATACTATATACTATATATATTCATATATATTGATTATGATCTATATAAAATTCTACACAATTGTAAGTACAAGTGACATTTTTTTTACTTTTCTTCCCATGAAGTACGATAGAATTATCAGCTGTACTCATTGCTTACTTTGCCTGTATAAGCCGCTATGTTTAGACGTGTCCAGTTTGACGATTTTTGTTCGCTAACGAAATGGATGCAAGAATTCTTTCGTGAATTCTTGGCCAAGGCAGTACTGTAACGATACCGCATTAAAAGCTATAACAAAAATAGAGTTTGAGAAGCCTTTCGACGATTCGAAAAAGCTCTGGCATAAGTGTTGTTGCATCTCAGTTCATTGTTCATTTACGTTTTTTTTTTTTGGTAAAATATATCTGGACGGGACAAGGACTGAGGTGAGTAGATCCTTGTGGCATTTACTACAGTGGCCATAAAAAGGAGCGCAAATTTGGTGTGGGATTAGTGGTGGGAGAGAGACTCCGTCGCCGAGTACTGTCATTCATCCCGGTGGATGAACGTCTAGCCACAACCTCCATCAGTAGTTCTTCAACATATCGCTGATTTGCTCCCTCGCCCCGATGGAAGGGAAGGACGATGTGACCAAAGATGAGTTCTATGAGCGCTTGGATCGTACCTATGAGTGCTGCCCCCGCCACGATGTCAAAATCGTGCTTGGCGTCGTTAACGCCAGTGTGGGCAAGGAAGGTATCTTTGACACAGTAGTCGGTAAATTCAGCCGCAACGAGGAAACATCTTCAAACGGGTTGATGGTGATGGATTATGAAATATGGTTATCTGTAGTACCTGGCTGTCTCCGGATCGAAAAGCCACCAACAGGATCGATCATTTTGTGATAGGCGGAAGACACATTTCCGGGCTTTAGGCGTGCATACGCTCCGAGGTCCTAACATCGACTCGAACCACTATCTTGTTGCAGCCAAGATTCGCACCCGCCTCTGTATAAAGCGGCGGAGGCCGATGAATTGCCAGCCGAGCTATTCGAACACGGCGGAGAAGAACTGATAAGGAGCATGCATCAGCTTCTTTGTAGAATATGGTCGGACGAAAGCATGCCCAACGATTGAAATTTAAGTGTGCTCTGCCCAATTCACAAAAAGATAGACCCCCCAAATACCGTGGAAAAAGCCTCCTCAACATCGCGTATAAATTTTTATCGAGCATATTGTGTGATATTTAAAGCCCACCGTCAACAAACTGATTGGACCTTATCAGTGTGGCTTTAGAGCTGGAAAATTAACTACCAACCAGATATTCACCATGCGCCAATTATTGGAAAAGACCCGTGAAAGGAGAAACGACACACACCACCTCTTCGTCGATTTCAAAGTTGCTTTCGACAACACGAAAAGGAGATAACTTTATGCCGCGATGTCTGAATTTGGTATCCCCGCAAAACTAATACGGATCGGGAAGAACCTCTCCGAGCCGTTCCATACCAAACGGGGTTTCAGACAAGGCGACTTCCTATCGTGTGACTTATTCAACCTACTTTTGGAGAAAATAATTCAAGCTGCAGAAGGTACCATCTGATGATATTGATATCATTAACAACCGCGCAGTTAGTTCTGCTTTCTCCAGACTGAATAAGTAAACAAAGCAAATGGGTCTGGAAATGAACGAGGGCAAGAGGAAATATCTCCTGTCATCAAACAAATAGTCGTCGCACTAGCGAATAGGCTCCCTCATCACTATTGACAGTCATAACATCGAAGTATAAGATAACTTCGTCTATCTTGGAACCAGCATCAACAGCAACAACAACGTCAGTCTCGAAATCCAATGCGGAATATCTCTTGCCAACAGGTGCTACTTCGGAGTAGGCAATTAAGAAGTAAAGTCCTCCCTCGACGAACAAAAATCAAACTCTATAAGTCACACATTATTCCCGCCCTGCTTATGGTGCAGAGGCAGAGAGAAAGATAAGGTTCTGCGAAAGACTTATGGTCTTTTGCGCTTTGACTACGGCGAATATTGCATTCGAAGGAACGATGAGCTGTATGAGAATTACGATGGCATTGCCATGCATATGTAGTTCAGCGAATTAAGAGACAGCGGTTGCGCTGGCAAGATCATGTCGTACGTATGGCCGAAAACACTCCAGCTCTGAAAATTTTCAATACCCGTCGAGGGAAGCAGAGGAAAGGGAATACCTCCACTCCTTTGGAAGGACCAGGTGGAGAAGGATCTGGCTTCGCTTGGAATTTCCAATCGGCCTCACGTTATGAAAAAAGAAACCACTGGCGCGTTGTTGTTAACTCGGCGTAATCAGAGTGTCAGAGTATTTTTACCTAGTTTTATTAATGTTAATGTATTATCTGGAAATCATATGGACTCTCGTAACATGTTGCTCCAGACTATTAAGTTTTGTTCAAGATAAGTATAGAGTTAAGTGACCGTCTTTCCATCCGAGGCTATGGACAGCAATTAAGCAGAATCGGACTATTCCCACCCCTTTTAAAAAGGCATTAAATGAAAATCAATATGTTTTCTTTTTGACTCCCTATTGATTCTATATTCATAACGATCCTATGAAAAACTGTTACTGTGCTTCGAAATTACTACTTCCGTAATGGATATTTCAATTAACTCATAAAATCAACTTTTATATAAAAATATATATGTATGTATTTACAAGTAGGGTATATATTCGATAGAATTTGTTCAATTACATTCGAGTTTGATTTGGTATCAGCGTAAAATAAAAACTTATTAGTTCTCTCAATAAACCTTATTTCCTACTATGTATTTAGGCTCGCTCCAACTTGAAATTTTCCAGCAACTGGGCAAGATATTTTATAATTTTATTACGTGCCTCTACAAGTTGTGGTGGATCGGATTTAGCCGGCTCGTACATATTGGCGCAGTGAGCAGTACCTAAGAGGAAATGAGAAAGCATTAAAAGATATTGTTATTCATCTGTAATAGGTGTTAACACACCTTCAATATAAATTGTGGGCAATTTCGGATTCTTCGATTTAGTCAAGCCGAGTGCATGCCATGGATCAATAGAGCCGTGTACGTAGAGCACATTTGTAGTGTTGGGTTTCAGTGCGCCATAATTTTTATTTGTCTGTGAGACAACTTGCTCCAAGTATTTCGAGTCCATACTGTATGAGATAGTTAAAGAAAAAGAGTTAATTTGAAAATAGTGTGTAGTTAACGGGGTTGGTACCTTTCTGAGTAAACATCCATGCACTGCTTAATGAAAAAATCAACCGCAAAGCGATCACCGAACGTGTCACTCTTATTATTCGAGGTTTGATAGAAACCAAATTCATTGCAAGTCTGATAGGTCCACTGCCGACTGCCATTACAGGCTTTAGCATCCCAAGAAGTTTCTTTTAGCTCAGCGATCATTGTATCATACTTGTAATCCAAACATTTCTCCTTTGACTCAGTCAAAAGCATATCATTAACCACACCCAGACGAGTAACCGGTGGACCAATGGTAGTATTGACCATAACGTTGCACAGCTGTTGAAGATTATTAAGTACAAGATAAGTAAAAATATATTATTTTCAATTTCAAAAGCCTACATCATCGATTGTATATTTGGCGCTAGGTCTGTTGTCCTTGTTATATTGTACAACACCAGCAAAGTTGCCAGCCAAAGATTCGAAGAAGTTGGACATGTCCAATGGATTATTTATCGAGTCTTTGATAGGTGTGCAGGTTCTGAAAGAAAATCAAACGTTTAAAAAGGGTGAGAGGTTGGACCTTTAGCATGCTAAATACTTGAATTTTTCATCCAAATTACGTTGTCCGATCATATGACGTGTTAAAATTTCGACTTGTGCAAATGCACGACCCACAGCTTCTAAACAATCAGTGGAGTATGTGGCCAAGGAAGCTTTCACCACCTCAAAATACTCTGTAAAGATATTTAAAGGGAGTTTAGTGGTGTATCTATGAAAGTTAAATACTAAAGTCCCACACAAAACCAAAAAAGGATTTTTCTACGAATTGTAAATGTAATAACATTCTTATTCTCATGCTCTCTTTTATTTTTGCTTAATTTACAAGGAAGTTGGAAGTACGTTTCACTCTTATAATTTTTTAATTTTATTTATAGATTATTTATGTATCGAAGTGAGTAGTTTTTTCTTAAAGTATTATAATTAAAAAACTTGTATTACAATCATGAATGAAAACTTGAGCGATGAAAAAAAATCATCGAAGAAATTAGTCGAACTTTCAATCCATGCATATTTCTGATATTATAACACCCTTTAAAATCCATGAACAGTTTAGACGCAGCTTGATAAGCTCTACAATACTATTTAAAAAATGTGAATCTTACCTTTAAAATCGACTTTAGCCAATAACGGCCCACTTGAACTTATAGCACCGTGTATTAGATCAGGGAACTTTTCACGTGCCCAAGCTGCCAGTGAGCCCGGGTAAGAACCTCCGAAAACTATCCATTTTTGATTATCATTCATGTTGTATTCTTTTTTCATGCTGCGTATAAAGTTAGCCAAATCCGAAAGCGCTTGTTCTGAAGTCAGATATACCAGATTTTTCGTGGAGAGATCACTACAAAAGAGCATAAACAAAATTATATAAACTTAATTGCTGGAAAGTACCAAGTACTCTCACCTTGTGGG